TAGCACTTGGGAGGCTGAGACAGGAGGATTACAAGTACCAGTTCTACCTGGGCAATTTATTTTATTTTTTTAAATGAACTCTTTTTATCCGCATCTTGTACAGCAATTAACCACTAAGAAGAATATATGCAGTGTATTATTTGTTGAAACTGTCCTTCCGATATGATTTGAAACTGTCTCATTGCTGTTTGTCAATAAAACTTTGAAAAAAAAAAAAAAAAAGAAGTAAAGCCATGCTGTTATGTTGAACTGTAGGGGACTCAGGTCAACAATTTCTGACATTGCCAGTGAAGTGGAAGACTCAATACTATTATGGACTACTGGACTCTTTTAGAATATTTTTTCTGAGTTAACACACCTATAATATTCAAATAACAAAACTAAACCAAAAAAAGGGGTATACAGATGAATGTCCATTTTGTATCTGTGTATTCAAAATGGTTGGGATAGATATATAGTTACAGTCTCTTAATGAATAGAGGGATTTGTTCTAATGGTATTTGTAAATAGGATATCATGTCCGCATCTTGTAAAGTAAATAACCACTAGGAAGAAAAAAAAAAAAAAATAAGGTTTACAAAAGTGTATGTTTTAATATTCAGTAGTTTTTTTGTTCACTTGTCTATTGTATGCAATTTTTAGCTCATAATTAATAAAAGTCACAATCATAAAAAAAATGAACTCTTTTTAAAAAATTTTTAATTTTATTTATTTATTTGTGTGTGTGTGTGTGTATGCGGTCAGCTCAGCCCACCAGGGGGCGGGGCTGGCTGGCATGTGGTGCTGGGGGATTGAACCGTCCCTGTGCTTTGCTAAGCTTGTTCTAAGTAGGTGCTTTAGATCACTGAGCCATCTCACCAGCCCCTACCTGGGCAATTTAGATAGGCTCTGTCTCAGAAAAAGGAGCTGGGGATATAGTGTACTATGAAAGTCTTGGGTTTAATCCCCAGTACTACAAATACAAACAAACATATTAATAACACACTACACCAATAATTTTGAAAACCTACAAATAGAGCAATTTGTAGGAAAAATTTAGTAACAGGTAAATTTACTGAATGCTTATAACATGTCAGATATTTATGTAATTTACTTATATTAAATAATTTAATACAACTACTGTATAAGATAGGTATTGTTATCTCTAATAATGAGAAAAGTGAATCTTTGACAAGCAATATGTTCAAAATCACATTCACTAAGAAATTGTTGATCTAGCATATCATTGACGACCCCACTCCTGAGCCCAGACCTTTATACTAAACTGGCTTTTAGAATAAGAAAGTTATCAAAACAGAAAATGGTAACTGAGCAATAATCATAAAAGTAACAGAAAGACAACATCCACTCCCCAAGGCCTAGATCCCTTTAAGGGTTAACTGAGCAATACTCCCAAGAAAGAGATAGATACAGAGAGACAGGTAGGGAGTGGGGGGAGGGGAGACAGGAGGAGAGAGATTGAGAGAGTTTGATTTAGTTGTAGACATTGGAGGGGAATAGGAAGCTGTCTCATACATTGAGAAGCCAAGCAATGGTGGGAAGGGGCTGCAGTGCAGTGGTAACACATCTACTTCATATGTACAAAACCCTGGGTTCAATCTGCAGTACATACAAGCATAAGCATGCACATATGGGTGCAAACATACACAATGAGGGCAAACAATAAATACTTCATGGATTGAGAAGATTTGCTATTGTACAGACGTCAAAACTAATTTATAGATTTTGCTGGATCATGGGGGTGATATACTTAATAGTGGATTGAGTTCATAGCCAAAGTGCTCTTAAAAGGTGGTCTAGTGGAAGAGGTGTGGCCTAGAAGGATGTCTCTCTCTACTATGCTAAAATAAAAACACTCAGATAACAGTATGGATGAATCTCATAAATAAATCGGAGGTGGGTATAAATCCAGAGAGATAGGAAAAAGAAAAAAAAAAAAAAAAAAAAAGCCAAGCACAAAAGAACATAAATGGAGCTTGCCCGCATGGTGTCACAAACCTGTAACCCCAGCACTTGGGAGGCTGAGGCAGGAAGATTACAGTAGGCTTGAGGCCAACCTGGGCTACAAACTAATTTCAAAGTCAACTTGAACTTCATAGTGACCCCTGCCTCAAAACAAACAAAAAACATAAATTGGAATTTCATAGTGTGTAAACAATACAAACAGATAAAACTAATCTAGGTTAGTTAACAGTGGTCATCTTTGAGATGGGAAGGAACAAGTGAAAAATAGCAGAAGGGAGCCTATGGTTATGCTATGATTATCTGTTTGTTGATATGGATGCTGGTTACACAGGTGTGCTCAATGTGTGAACACACACCACTGCGCATGCTAACATGCTTATGATCTATGCATACTCTTTATGTACATGATGCTTGAATAAAAATTAACATGTATGACAGTAAGTAAACTGAAGTGGAAAAATTTTTTCTACAGGTAAGATATTTAGTCATATATGAAGAACTAATGTAAATCAGTGACTAAGAAGGTAGGCTGGGAGTATAGCTCTGTACAGCACATGCTTGGCACGTGTCAGACCCATGATGTGATTACCAGGACCAAAAACCAAACATAAGCTAGTATTCAATGGAAAATGAACCCCCAAAATAAAGAGAAATGCTCAAGCAAAGGAAATAGATGCATAAATGTACAAAATGTAAATTAAAACAATGGAATACTATTTTTGCCTATCAAGTTAGCAAAAAATTAAAGGACACTGATACAGTTGTTGATGAGCTGGACATAGGGGCCCATGCCTATAATTCCTGTATTGTAGGAGGCGGAGGCAGAGCACCCCAAACTTAAGCCCAGCTTGGGCAAGTTAGCAAAACCCTTGTATCAAAATTAAAAAAAAGAAAAAAGAAAAAAAAAAAAAGAAAGAAAAGAAGGTTGAAGATGTATCTATGTAAGGATGAACCAACTACCAGTACCAAAATAGAAGTGCTGATTAGACTTTAGTAAGACTAGCATTTCTTATTCTTAATAAAAATGTGAATTGGTATAACCTTCCTGCATATGTCTTTTAAAAAGGTTTTTCTTCTTTTTTTCTCTTTGTCTGTCTGCCTCTTTCTTTTGTCTCTTTTTAAGACACAGTCTCATTATGCAGTTCAGGCTAGCCTTGAGCTCACTTTGTAGCCCAGGCTGGTCTCGAACTCAAAACAATCCTCCTGCCTCAGCCTTGCAGAGTGTTGGGATTACAGGCATGCACCACCACACCCAGCTAAAGTTTGTGTTTTTTGATCTACTGGTTTCTAGAAATTATTCTGAGGAAAAATCAGAGTTGCAGCTAAAGATGAACTTGTATCATTGTTGATTACAATGATATTTTGAAACAGTCTATACATAAAATGGTGATGGTGCATAAAATGGCTATGGTGGGATACTATATTCTGAATGTTTTCAAAGAATAATGGATAAAAAAAAAGATTTAAGATATATTTAAGTGAAAAATGAATCCAAAATTCTATATGGCATATGTTTTATGTTAAAAGTATCACATACATAAACATACATTTAAATAGAAAGCCTATATGAACACGTACCATTTCATTAACAATGGCCATCTTTGGGCAGTGAGACAAAAGATTTTTGATTTTCCACAATAAATGTTTTTGAGCATTTATTACCATTATATTCAGAAAAAAATTAAAATAGTGTACAAAAAAATACAGCCACCCAGTTTCCCTTACTCTAGAAATCTAAGCAACATAGATTTCTGTCTCCCTCGACTCCCACATCCAATCTGCCATTTCCTCAATTTTACCTTAGAAATGCCGAAGTCATTATCTCATCATTTTCTCTCTGATTTCCAAAATTCAGGCCCCCTCTCTAGTGAACTCACATCCAGCCTCTTCACTACAATAAAACGGTCACATTTTCACTACTACATTTGCTGTCACACTTTACATAGTGCCCAGGCACCCCTGAGGCCCTAAAAAATGCAATCTAGGCTCTTTCACACCTGCCATCTCAGCGCTCTTTTTCCTGTATTTCATTTTTCTGTCTTTCTAATCCGATTCATAGCTCAAAATTCACCTGTGCTGCCGTTCAGTGGGTGTAGCTCTTGGAGGTGGGCAAAAGCAGGCAGCTGTTTCCAGATAATGCAATAACAGTTTGTATCTATTCAACATTTCACGTTCTGTACCGTTTGTCTCTTGCTCTCCTTATATGACTTGGGCCACTTTTTCCATGCATTCATTTTTAGAAACAATTTTCTCAAACCCTAGTTGGATGCAGGAAAGTAAAGCATACATATGCAATCCATAGCTACAGGGCTTTGAGTTTTGACCTGATCAAAGAATGGCATCAAACACACTAGCTTGATTTTTTTTCCCCCTCTCCCATTCAAGATGGCAGAGAACGTCTTAAAATAGAGCTACACAAAAGCACTCACATCCAGAGCCTCGATTCAGGAGAACTGGCTATACCTAGCGCAATAGCAAAGGACAAAAGAATAGGAACCTCGATGCTGAGGTGCCCCGGCGCTCACCGCCCACCGCAGGTCCCACGCCCAGAGACTTGACGCGGTGCCAGAGCACTGGCACCTGCTGCCCGCATTCCGAGGGCCACGCCAGGACCGTACGGGGTGTTCCGCAGCACTACTGGATCTGACCCCCGAGAGACCGCGGAGCGAAGGGGGAGGCGAATCTGCCCCGGGGCGGCAGGCATGCAGTTCGGCCCCGCCCCAGCCAGGCGGGCTGCTCCCCGCGGCGCCTCCAACCCGGGCGGGAACAGACAGGGATCCCGCCCAACCACCGGGCTGCCGGGGCCCGACCGGGACTCTGGGCGGGCCGAGGCAGAGGCCGGCTGCCGCCGGGCGTCCCGGACTCCACCTGTCAGGCTGCGGCCGATGCTAGGCCCCGAAGCCGCGGGGGTCGGTGGCTAAGACCCGCAGGAGCGCGTCAGCCGGTTCCTCGTCCGGAGCTCGCCTGTCCTCCTCGTCTTCCTTGTGGCCCTTCCAAACAAAGGCAATCCACGCCCACCGCCATTTTCCTCTTACCTCAAAAACCACCTCTTCGTCAAACTCCGGTGTCATCCTTCTCCGCCATGCCACCCACCTCAGCACGATGGGAAATGAAGGCAGCTGAACAGGCGGTACCCAGGCTTTTGCCTCCGCTCGTCCCGCGGAGCCTGACAACTACAGTTCCCGGCATCCTTTGTGGTTCATGCCTGCTTTCCCGGCCTTCTTATTGGAGCAGAGGATGGGCGTGTGGGCGGGAGGGGGCGGGACCAAAAAGAAGCTCCAGCTTTCCCATTGGGGAAGGCTGGGCTTTTGTCTGCCTTTTACAGCGGCTACTAGCAGGGGGCGTGGGGGCGTGCGGAGCGCTGATTTTTGTGGAACTCCTGCAGGGTGCGCGCCGGCGGAGTCGCGGTGAGCGCTGCTCGGGCGCGCGCTTGGCTCTCGCTTCGGAGCGCGGTGGGGTGGCGCCGGTGCTCGCCCGCCTGCAGCTCCGGACGCCAGGCGCTCGGGAGCCCCGCTGGGTCGCTCGTTGGCGACTGCCGCATCTTTTGTGAGGCTCGGGGCGGCATGTGGGCGCCGAGGGGTCTCTTCCCGTCTGCACGGACCCCGGAGACAATGGACCGAGACGCGAGCATGGATTGAGGGCGCTGGAGGGGAAGCGAGCCGCGTGGGGAATCATGACTTCTGCCGCCGGTGAGTGGCCGGAAAGTTTGGAGCGAGCCGGAGACTTTCCTCCCCGGGGCGGACAAGCCTTGTGTTCTCCGTCTTCCCGGGCAGACGCCTCCGGGGCCGCGTCCTTCGCGCCCGTGAGCGCGGGCGACTCGGACCCTCCGAGCGGGGACCCTCCGAGCGGGGCGCCGGCGCCAGGTGGACCCCGCCGCCCCCCGCCCGCGTTTGCTGGCCTCCTGCGCCGTGGGGCCGCCCCGCGTTCTCTGGGACCCACGTGAAGAAACCAGTTCTGCCGGGCGAGCTCGGCCACCGGGCCGGGCACCCGCACCATTCCGAGGAGAGGGAGGTTGTTGGAGACGGCGTGCCCCCTGTCCTGCCCTTTTTCCTCCTGTGTTCCGAGGCTGGCGGTAGGCTTGCGCCTGGCAATTGTCTTGCCCATCCTGCCGTCAACTTTAGGAACTTTTTGTCAGTTTCTACTGCTTACGCTCCGCAAAGCCCAAAGCCGTGTTTTTGTCTACCTCCTACAGACCTTCCCTATGATTTAAATAACAAAGCCTCTCTTTACCTTTGTGTTTTGGGGCAATCCTGAGCGTTGTATTATTGAACACTCAAGGGACAGTTTTTATGTTCCAAAATAATCACAAAAGTGGTGTTATGGCCACTTTTTTTTTTACCTTTTTGTCCCTATTGAAAGAAACTTAATTGAAAGTTTTATAGTGGTTTAAAGCTTATCCTCAAAGTTACTTCTAGAATCAGCACTTACGTATCTGCTTAAATTTTCTTTTCTCTTTTTTCTTTTTTTTGCGGTACAGGGGATTGAACTCAGGGTCCTGTGCTTGCCAGGCAAGCGCTTATTCTACTGAGCCATCTCCCATTTCTTTAAAATTCCTGCAACTTTGAAACTGTCAAACAGCACTTTAAAAATTCTGATTTGTATTATTTCTAAAACATAGATGTTGCATTGCTGGGCTGTAATCTTGCCAGATTACGACTAACCAGGGAAAAAATGTGCCAATACAAGAGAGGAAACACGAAGTCAAATGTTTATGTAGATGTGGATCTTTTCATTTTGATGTTTTGTGTGTGTACCAGAGGTACATCATTATGTGGTATGATACTTGTCTTACCTTATTTATAAACTCGCCTTTAATAAATGGAGACCTTCCGCAACCTAAATTTCTGTGCCTCACCCTTATTCAAGCTTTTTAAAAAATAGTAACCAATATAATTCATTTAAAATGATTAGAAAATTTAAAAGCCCTCCGCCCAATTATAGCTCTGTCTTTGGATTGTCAAATGTATTTAAAATATTAGTATGTTGGGGCTAGGGAGATAGCTCCATAGAATAAGCACCTGCCTGGCAAGCGCAAGGCCCTCAGTTCAATCCCCGGTACTGCGCCACCCCTCCCAAAAAAGGCAGTAAAATATTAAAATATCATTTTTTGGTTTCAGTCCCAACAATTTATACTGAATAGGCACAGAGGCATTGGCATTTATATATGTAGACATGATTTCTACAGCCCAGTCTAGAATAAGTCTTTCATCCCAAATACCTAGGAGAAAGCAAGCTACTTTTATATTTTTTCCAATTTTCCTATTAAAGAAATCCACAGACATTTTTGTGGTGCTTAAAAGAGGGACATTTCCTGGGTCTAGCTGTTTTAGCAGGTTTTTAACATGGCTTGCTAAGAAGCATTACTGTTTTGTTCATCCATCTTGGAAGATTTATTATAATTCTTTTTTTTTTTTTGGTGGAAATGGGGATTGAACTGAGGCCCTCGCGCTTGCCAGGGAAGCGCTTATTCCACTGAGCCATCTTCCCAGCCCATTATAATTCTTATGTCTAAATGATAAATATGAAAAATAACTGAGGTTTTACTTCTACCTCATTCTTAGGAATACATCCTTCACACAAGTTAATTATGCAGCTTTCTGGCATAATAGTGAAGTTCAAACTTTCAGGAAAGATTTTCATTTGGAGGAGGGGTTGTTTTTAGATCTAATCAGTGAAATTTGGGACTTTTGATTCAGTTTAAGAAAATATTAAACAAAACAAAACAAAACGGGGCCAGGGTGATGGCTCAGTGGAATAAGCGCTTCCCTGGCAAGCGCTAAGGCCTGAGTTCAATCCCTGGTTCCGCAAAAAAAAAAAAAAAAAAAAGAAAGAAAATATTCTGTGAGGAATGTAGAATATGTAAATTATACCTTGAACAAGAGCTTGCTTTATTTACTTTGTGTGTGTGTGTGTGTGTGTGTCCATGAATGGGCTGAGAGTAACAGAGGTTTTAGAAGTATTCTGAGAAGTGAGATAATTGTGTGTATTTTCTCTCTTTTTGAGCACGTACAAGTCACCATCTCGTTAATGCCTGTGCTTTCCCCCTTGGCTGGTGTAATAACCTAGAGTGTACATGTGTAACAGATGACAAGGATGTTTGTAATAGTGAGGAAAATAGTGCTTTACTTTCTTACCTTATGTTTCCTTGAGCCAAACAGCTGTGTAAATAAAAGATTTGCTGTGTTGCTCTAAAGAAGCTTTGGACCTGACTGTTGATGCTCTAGGATTCAGCGGTTCCGGGTTTGTTTCACAATCTGCATTCTTTTAAGAACTTGAAATTGGACCACTCGATAGGGTCACAATAGTGTCTCTTCCAAAATAGAGCCATTAAAAAATAATAATGGATTTTGTATATTACTACATCAGGAACCTAGTTGAAGTATTGTCCTATTAAGCACTGAGGAATTATTTAGCAATCTTATTTGAAGTTGTTTCTACTAAGATTTCAAAGTATTATTCAGTATCTTAAAAATGGCTTACTTTTTTTTTTTTTTTTTGTTACTGGAAATCAAACACGGGACTTTGCGTTTGCCAGACAGGCCCTTGTACCAGTGAGCTATAGCCGTACCCTCCCTTTTTTTCTTATAAACAAATTTTCTGTCACTGAAATATGGTAGAGTATATGTATGTGACAGCTGTTTATTCTCAGGCCCTGGAGAAGGCAGATAAAGGTGTATTGAATACAAATAATATAGGACAAAGAGGCTGCAGTGTCAGGGTTCTTGTGAACAAATAGCTCAGAATTTATCATCTCAAATTCAGAGACCTTTTAGCTGCCCCATGTAAAGAGGACAAGACAGCCAGGTGAGCTCTGGGGCAAGCTGTGTCAGCCCCTCTCCAAGTCACGCTATCAGCCTCCTCCAACACACAAGTAACCAGCAGTTGTGAACCCAGATTCACAGCTATTCATTAAATTCAGTCAGTGTGGAGCAAGGGCTTTAGGAACATAATCCTGTGCTGTGTTTATTGGGAATCAACCCCAACTCACAGCTTGATGCCCAAGACTCGGAGAGAGAACAGGAATTTGTATATGAATTTGATACCAGAGATTAAAAGATGATTTAAGTCACTAGGATTAAAAGCCACTATGGATTGGTTCATTGTCCTTCAATATCTGGTGTGGCGCAGAGGTTCAGAAAATAAATGATCAATTAGATGAGATAGGTTTTTAAAAAAATTGTGGCTAAAATTCCTCTAAGTTTGCCATTTTAACTCTTTTTAAGGGTCTAGTTCAGAAATGTTAACTTTTTGTATGGTTGCATTTCCAGAACTCATTTCATCTTGCAAACCTGATTTTTTTCCCCCCTGTAAATTGCAGAGGTAGAATGTTTTGAGAATGAAAGAAATGCAGTCATTATGACAGTCTTGTCAGTTTTTACCGAGAGTGGGGAAGATAGGAAGAGTTCTAGGGCATTCATTCTCTTGAGACTAAGCTCGATAGGTTGAGCGTTTAATATACCCTCGCAGCAAGTTTGATCACTGGGCTTTGCAGTTTTGCGGTTATTTTCTGCTTAAAAAGAAAGCCTCCAAACTAATAGCATGTTTATTTTTATTTATTGAAAAGCTCACAGAAAATTGCCTTCTTGGGAATTTTGTAAGTTCAACATCCTTACTTTGATAACTTTGCCTAGGCTTACTATCAGGGGCTTGGGAGAGTTCCTTAGTTAGGAAAAGGAAGTAGAACATGCTACTCTTTTTTTTTTTTTTTAAAAAAAACTCAGTTCTATGTCATACATCCCCAAGTGTTGTGACTAATTTCCTTTGTTGAAAAGAAAACCAACACCAAATGAAATATGGAAATCTCTGTGTGTTCAAGTAAATGTAACAATCTCAGGCACTCTTTTACACTAGATATTTTGAGGGTTTTTTTTTTCTCCTAGTAAATAAGGTTTTTACTAAACATGATACCCTGATGAAGGAACAAGTATCAAAGTAAGATAACAGTGGTTGCCCTTGAGTCTTCTTGGGCAAATGTAGTTAAGTAACTGTGTCAGGGAGAGTATCTTAAAGGAACTTAACAGAAATACATATATAGTCTCTTTGTATCTTATTCTTTTATGGGCCTTTGGTATAAAGTTGTTATCTGATTCCTATAGGCTAAAAGCAGGTCTGCCCACAAAGTATTATATAATATAATGGTACTAAGGAAGTACTTTAATGTTAAAGAAGAATTGCTACACTAGAAGTTGTCCTCACCTTTTAAATGCACTAGAGCAATATTATTAATGAAAATAAATGTTAAGATCACTTGTATCACATAAAAGAAACAGATTAAATGGTTAGATCAGGATGGGGCCTAGTAGACTGAGCATCCCTAATCCATAACTCCTGCTCATAGCAATACTAGCTTTAATGTCAGCATCAAATGATACCAGAGAACTTTCAGGGATTTTTTTTTTTCCATAAATTTATTGAAGAACTTTCAGTTTTGAAAGTTAGAAAACTTTGATTTCTAAATTCTCTTTTAAAGATTGTTTTGGACTGTGATGGGTACATACCTGTGATCCTAGTATTTAGGAGGTTGAGGCGGGAAGATTGCCATGAGTTTGAGGCTAGACTGGGCTATTTAGTGAATTCAAGGCTAGCCAGGATTCCACTTCCTTAATACCATATTATATAATACTTTGTGGGCAGACCTGCTTTTAGCCTATAGGAATCGGATAACAACTTTATACCAAAGGCTCATAAAAGAATAAGTGAATTCAAGGCTAGCCATATATTGTGTGTACTATACCTAGTGAGATGTCAAGTTCATTGTGTTGAAATTAAAAATGTTAGCCAAGCAAGTGGTGAACTCTTGTACAGCCAGCAGTTAGGAGGCTGAGGCCGTAGGATTGTTATAAGTTCCAGGCCAGTTAGACAGTCTCAGAAAACAGTCAAGAATTTAAAACGTTACCCATTTACTCGAGTATCATCTTGTGCTTTGGTTATTATTATTATTTTTTTATTTCATTATGACTTTTCTTTTTTAGAAATAAAGAAGCCACCAGTGGCCCCCAAGCCGAAGTTCGTGATGGCACAGAGTAAGCCAGCCCCCCCTGCCATTGCACCGAAACCGGACAGCGTGACTGCTGCCATTCCTCTGTCAACAAGGAAAGCTAAACCGGCAGTTGCACCCAAACCAAAAGTTCTGAAGACCTTACATGTGGGAGAGCCTTCGCCCTTGCTACTGAGGAAGACGGCTGAGACCCCAGAAAAGCATAAACCAGAGTCACCCCACAGTACCAACTGTTTTAATTGCAAAACTACAGGGGATCAGAGCAGTGATTATATTTTACCAAAGTGTCCCTGCGGTTCTGAATGTATCTGTAAGCTTGGGAATAAAAAGAAGATATGGGTAAAGCAGCTTGTGTTAGAACCCTTGGAAATGAAAGAAAGTTTAGAAAACAATAAAATGGATGAGTCCTCTTTGACAACAGAAACTCAGATGAAATGGACTTCTGGTGAAAAGTATAGGAGCCACAGTGGAGTGATTTTAAAGGCAAACATCCTAGAAGCCAAACTCAAAGATACTTTGAAAAGACCAGTGTCACCTTTTGGTCACCCGCAGAAGCACATATCCACGGGTAGCAGCTCAGAAATGAATGGGGGCAGCAGCGCCGATGCACGGTTCACAGTTGATCTTCCAGATGCCTCACCTTCCCCGTCCAGCTTCAAAAAAGTGCCTGTTTCTCAGAACTGCCACTTGGAGCTTCCTAGCGGTGAATTTGAAAATCTTGAAACTTATGAGGGGGGAAGCAAAAACAGCAATAATTGCTTTCATTCCTCTGAACCGGAAGCTCTGGGAAATGATAAAAGAGATACACTTGTATCTTTAGATGGAGTTAGTAAAAACTCAAAGGTCAAAGACCTCAGTCCTGTAAAAATTGACTCAGTACCAGCTAGCCCCAGATTTCCTACCCTGAAGCCCAGAAAGGGACGTCTGTTACGCCAAAAACATGTGGATACTCCCAGTGAAAGTGCTGCACACGCAGAGAATTTAAATCATAGCTCTGCCTGTCTTGGTGAAGTTAGTTCAACAAACAGTGAAGTCAGTGTTTTTCAGGAGAATGTTTTGTGTCACCAGGATTCAGTGAACGAAGTGAAGTCGGAAAGTAAAAGTGAACTGAATAGCAGCTCCAGGAGGGACAGACAAGACTGTCATGGGACTTCTTCCCTTGAGAACATGGCACCTTCGTTAGATACAGACTCTGATTTGAGTTCTGACAGCAGGGCAGGTGCAGATGGTCCTAGTACATCACTTGATGAGGACAAAGGGACCCATTTCACAAAATCCAGTGCTCTGTCTTGGAGCTTGCCTAAGCAGCTCAAGTTAACCTGCACTGACCATCTGTCAGCTGGAAACCTGGGAGTGTCTGCCCCTGCAATGCAGAAGGACTGTATGATGAAGAAGGAAAGTTCCTCGAGAATTGTCCCCAAGAAGCCTCAGAGGCACAGTTTGCCTGCTTCGGGAGTGCTTAAGAAGGCTGCCTCTGTGGAGCTGGTGGAGAAAAGTTCTTATGCCTCAGTTGAAGTAAAAAGTTCAGGGAAGGTTCTAGAAGGAAATCTCCTTCAGCATTTGTGTGCCCCAGACCAAGCTAGGTCTTCGTCCTTTGATATGCCTAAACGGACTTCAGAAAAGCCAGTGTGGAAATTACCTCATCCTATTTTACCCTTACTAGGGAACTCAGAATCCTTGAAGTTTGTCACTGTGTCTTCCAGTGGTGAGGCTGCTGCTGCCCCAAGCAAACCCAGAGCGAAGTCCTTATCCTCTGTGGACCTGGACAGATGCACCAAGCCTTGCAAATACTCTCCTAAGAAGAACTCTTTCAGGCAGTTGTTCAACAAGAAGCTATCCATGTGTTTCATGAAGGGAGACTTTCAGAGAGTCCGGCCCAGGGGTAGCCAGCCGGGAGACACAAGCAGAGGTTGGCTGTCGGCTGGGGTGTGGAAAGGGCTTGGCAGTGACTGGCGTGGCACAATAGTGGCTGACCTGGAGAAGAGAGGCAAACCCAGCAAGGCATACTCTGCAGATCACTACAGCCCCGAGTCCCAGAAGAAAAAGAAGAAGCGGAAGCCGTGGGGTGGGACTAGTGCAGATGATGGCCCAACGGTGGAGTCTCCGGATGAGCAGAAGCTGTCTGGAGAGGTCTCCTGTCAGCCGCCTGGCAAGGCAGTCTGTGAGCCGGAGTATGAAAACGTGCGCCACTATGAGGAGATCCCGGAGTATGAGAACTTGCCCTTTGTTATGGGCGCAGGGAAGGCTCTGGAGTTGGAAGGGCAGAATTACAACGGCACGGAGGATGCTGACGCCAATGTGTACGAAGCCCAAGAGCCAGACGGAGCTGCGGGTGACTGGCCACCTCCAAGGCCTGATCGTCAGAGTTCCAGGTAACACTTAGGTGCTCACAGGCGTAGCAATCTGGTTTTTAATTTTTATTTTCTATTAGTACTTGGCTTACAGTGCACGCCAATCATTGTCCTTGTGGGGACTGGCACGTTCATAACACACCTTAATTCTTTCTCTCCTTCGCCTGCCCTCTCTCCCCCTCTGTCTTCTTCCCTTTTGTAAAAGATCTCCCTCCCTATTTTCTGTTATCTTTTATTTTGGTCTTTGTTTATATTTTGGGTTTTTCATATAAGAAGCCATATGTCTAATGTATGCGTGTATGTCTACTTTACTCAACATATGGTTTCAAGATACATCTGTTTTGCTACAGATGACTCAAGTTTATTTTTTATAACAGAGTAGTACTCCATTGTGTGTAAATATATTTTTAAAATCTGTTCATCCTATGCATAGATTATAGGTTGCTTCTAAGATTTAGCTATTTTGAATTGTGCTGTTTTGAACAAGGATATGTATGTGTGTCACTGTAAATATAATGTCTTTATCTCTTTCAAGAAGATACCTAGAAGGGGAATATCTGGCTTAAATTGAATTTCTCTCCTACCTTTTCCTTTCCATTTCTTTTCTTTTCTTTTTTTTTTTTTTTTTGCTACCTGGAATCGAGCTCACAACCTTGTGCTTGCCAGGTAGGCACTGTGTCACTGAGCTGTAGTCTCGTCCCTCTCCTTAGCTTTTTGAGGTATCTCCATATTGCTCTCCAAAGTGGTCGTGCTGCTTCACGTCTGTGCTAATGACGTAGCATGGTTCCTTTCTCCCTCCAGCCTCGCCAGTATTTACTAGTTAGCTTGACTCTTGATGATGGCCATTCTTCCTGGCATAAGGTGGAGTCTGTTGTTTTAATGTGTGTTTCTCGGATTGCCAGTGGTGTTAACATTTTTTCATGTATTTATTGGCCAGCAGATGCCACATTTCTGATAGATCGTTGCAAATAACCTTCCATAGCTCTGTGAGACAGGAATGCAGGGGACACGTTTGCCTAATGAGGGGCTGATGGAGAGACACTTTGTCCACCTGCAGCCTCTTGTTGGTGTAGAGCAGAAGTGTGTATTTGCGTTGCAAGCTTGGAGTTGTTGACTTATTTCAGCAGCTGAGTCAAGGACTTTAAGTAGTAGTAGCATATTACCACGAGGAAAGCCTGGAACAGAGAGGTCAGGATTCCTAGTGTGGAACCTGAGACAGGAAATTGGTTAACTCAGTGAGGTGTTCTGTGCTAAGGATAGGAAATCTGAAGTTAGTGAAATCCATGTGTTTACTTATAGTGTTTTTTTTTTTTTTTTTTTTTTGAGACAAGATCTCACTATGTATTCCAGGCTGGCCTTGAACTCCTGGAGATCCTCACGAAAGAGTTGAATTCTCCAGCATCTTATTAGGGACTCCAACAAATAGAAAAACAGGTCTCTTTGTTTTCCTGCCAGTTTCTGTGTCACCCAGGCTGGTTTTAAACTTGCTGCAGTCCTGCCTCAGATTCCTAAGTACTGGGGTGACTGGCGTGCACCCTCCGCCTAGCTCTTTTCTCTTTTTTGCGTATGCACTTTAACATTCCTGCCCCATCTCTCTTACTGGAACTGTGCCCATCTTCAGTGGTTCAGCCCACCAACCACAGGCTTCGTGAAGCTTCGGTGGTTACCCCGTGGAAAGCGTGAGTTCCTGTCCCGAGCTCCTGGCTGTGCTGTGACGCCCTCAGCCTCTATCTGAGTTATCCAGTGCCTCTGGTATTTACTAGTGTATCTGAGATTTTGCATTCAGTTTTAGGCTCTTTCTCTCTCTCTTTTTTTTTTTTTTTGTAATTTTTTAGGGAAGGGTCTACAGGGTGTTCAGGGTCTCACTACTAGATTGGACTTGTAGTGATCTGCCTGTTTACAGCCTCCCAAGAGCTGGAATTACAGGCATGCGCCGATATACCCAGTCTGAAGGTTTAGGCTCTTTGAAGAGTTCCAGGCTTATCTTTATCCTGCATGAGGCCAGGCCAGGGGCCTAGTAGGCCATCAGTAGATGGGGACAGCATGGGAGAGAATTAATGAAAAAGAGGCAGAGGACATCACAGTGGCAGTTGCTCCCTCTTCTCAGGCACAAAGGAAGCCTTTGCTCTTTGAAGTGTTTGTGTCTAACAAAAAGGCCCAGAAAACCCCTTTGGTAGTCTTTAGATTACACCTAGGCCACTAATATCAGGTCTTTGGGTCTCTAGGTCTTAAATATGTGATTTTAGGGGCTGGGGAGATGGCTCAGTAGAATAAGCGCTTCCCTGGCAAGCGCAAGGGCCTGAGTTCAATCCCCAGTTATGAAAAAAAAAAAAAAAAGTGATTTTATAGAAATGCAGTGGCATCTCGAGTCTCAAATACTTTTGTTTGCAGGCAGTTTGGTTCAGAAACAAGCATTTGGCAAAATTTTGTTTTTGTTTGCAAACTCTTGTATTGGGTAACAAATATGACTCCAGCCGTCCTTCCCATATGAACAACAATCTGGCCACCTTTTCCAAAATTATGAAACAAATTCCATTCGTTTGTGAGTCGAGGCACCAAGGCACCGCTGTCCTAACATACCCAGCACTCAGAGCGGGTGAGTTACAGAAGTCAGGTAACTCAGTGCAGCCAGTGACATCAAGAAAATCACTACTCAAACTCAGATGTTCTACTTGGCTTTTGTTGTTGTTTTTGTTTTTGTTTTTCAGACAGGGCTGCACTATGTAGCCCAGGTTGGCCTCAGGCTGTGGTGATATTGCCTCAGCCTCCTCAGTGCTGGGATTCCAGGCATGTGCCTGGCAAGTGACTTCTTTAATGCTTGTGTGTACTATTTGTGTCTTTGTGTGCACATGTGTGTGCATATAATGAATTTGTTTGGCTTTAAGATATACTAGTATACAGCCAGTATAAATTTTTTCTTTTCCTTTTTAAAAAAAAAAAATATTTCTTGCGGACTAGGGAGTTAGCTTGGCAGTCTAAGCGCCTGCTTGGCAAGCACAAGGACCTGGGTTTGATCCCCAGTACCACGTGCCATATAAGCCCAGGAACTCTAGGCGCACCATGCCGGCCGCCAAAACTGGGCACGGTGCCTATGCCTGTAATCCCAGACTGGGGAGGCTGAACCAGGAGGATCATTACAAGTCTGAGTTATGTAGCGAGATCCTGTAGCATCAATAAATGATTTTTCAAAAATCATTTCTAAATAAATAAACTAAATTGTTTCTTTTTCTGTTTTGTATTTTAGGGAAAGGTCTACAGGGTGCCCAGGGTCTCACTACTAAATCAGACTTGTAGTGATCCGCCTGTTTACAGCCTCACAGAGCTGGGATTACAAATGCATGCCACCAGGCCCAGTCTCAGTTGGCGTCCCAGCAGCCCCGGGGTTGGGGCCAGCACTGCAGGCCCATGAAATTACTTCTCGAAATTGAAAATTTGGTCCTTTCTTTGGGAATCATTTAAATATTCCGAGCATTTGCATTTAACACCATCTCTGATCCAGACTTGGCACCTCTGGAATTTGTTCTTTTTTTTTAAGACAGGGTCTTATTTTAAAGTTCAGGCTAGCCTTAAGCTTACTGTATAGCCCAGGCTGGCCTTGAACTTGCAGAGAATCTGCCTTCCCCCTTAGGCACCATCACGCCCAGCAGGAGCTTATTCTTTAACTGGGCATGTTACTGGATCTGGAGCCCCAGGTTGGCAGGGATGAGTTACCCATACAGCCAGTGCTGTTGGGTGGGTAACCCGGGGGGCTATTCTGGAGACTAGGGTTGTTGCAGGCTGTCTGGCGGGACTGCCCAGGGAAAGGTCCACAAGCTCTGCTTTGAAATTTCACCTTCTTGCTTTGGAGATTTTTGCTTAGCCCATGAGCAGAATTTGCTCACTGGGCTTCCTGATGTCTAAAGTGTGCCTGCTGAATCAGAAGCCTTCAGCATTAGGGTCGGATCCACAGCACTCCCTCAGAAGCCATTTCTTTTTTGTTAGTGGTTGAGTCAGAGCCTCTCTGTGTAGCCCAGGTTGGCCTGGAACTTGCTGCATCTTCCTGCTTTAGCCTCCGGAGCGCTGGGGTTATAGATAGGCCTGCATCACCACACCCAATTGAGGCCATTGCTTGTGTAAACTACACTGAATAGTCACCAAAAGCAAAATCCAAGTCTCATGAGGAGAAAACCTCCACACCCTGAAATAGGATATATGAGAAGTAGAATGACTGAGATGATTGGATCCAAGCAGAACTCCTGCCAGGCTGCAGAATTTATAGACCTGTGCCTTGGAAGGATCCTGTCTGGGGTCCTGACATGGTAAGAAAAAACAAAAAATTAATATTTTAAGTTAGCATTAAAAAACCTAAGTTTTAATTAATATTAAAAAAAAATTAAGGGCTGGCTAGATAGCTCAGCCAACTAAAGCGCCTGCTTAGGCAGAGTACAGCACCTTGGGTGCTGTTCTGGCCCTGACCCTGGGGCACACTGAGACAGTGATTGAGACTGGGTGCGGTGGCCCACACCTGTAATCCCAGCACTTTGGAGGCTGAACACAAGAGAATCACTACAAGTAGGATCTGTGTAGTAAGACCCTGTAGATCCTGTCCTAAATACAAAAAGAAAAAAATTAAGAATCCCATTAAGATTTTCCTGTGGAGCCGGGCATGGTGGCACAGGCCTGAAATCCCAACATGCAGGAGGCTGAGGCTGGAGGATGGTCGCCAAGTTCAAGACCAATCTAGGCTACAAAGTGAGCTCAAGGCCAGCCTGAGCTACATAGTGAGACCCTGTCTCAAAAAGACAAAAAAAAAAAAAAAAGATTTTCTTGCTGAGTCATCACTGGAATCCTTAACACTGTGTCAGCTTTGGAAGGCCCTGGGTCAGAGAGCTCTGGATTTAGAATTTGCTGGTGGGAGGGGCCTGGTGGTGCACATCTGTAATCCCAACGCTCTGGAGGCTGACTCAAGAAGATTGCTGCAGATTCAAGGGCAGCCTGGGGTAACTAGTGAGTTCAAGGCCAGCCTGAATTACATAATGAAA